TTTTTTTCCTCTCCATTTGCTTGGTAAATCTTCTTCCATCCCTTTATTTTGAGTCTGTGTGTGTCTTTGCATGTGAGATGGGTCTCCTGAATACAGCACACCAATGGGTCTTCACTTGCCAGTCTGTGTCTTTTGATTGGGGCATTTAGGCCATTTACATTCAATGTTAATATTGTTATGTTTGAATTTGATTCTGCCATTTTGTTACTAGTGGGTTGTTTTGCCAGTTAGTTGATGCGGTTTCTTCATTGGGTCGTTGTTCTTTAGTATTTGGTACATTGTTTCAGTGGCTGGTACTGGTTGTTCCTTTCCATGTTTAGTGCTTCCTTCAGGAGCTCTTGTAAGGCAAGTCCTATAATGATGAAATCTCTCAGTGATTGCTTGTCCGTAATGGGTTTTATTTCTCCTTCACTTATGAAGCTTAGTTTGGCTGGAAATGAAATTCTGGGTTGAAAGTTCTTTTCTTTAAGGTTGTTCAATATTGGCCCCCCCACTCACTTCTAGCTTCTAGGGTTTCTGCCTAGAGATCCACTGTGAGTCTAATGTTCTTTCCTTTGTGGGTGATTCAACCTTTCTTTCTGGCTGCCCTTAGGATTTTTTCCTTCATTTCAAACCTGGTGAATCTGACAATTATGTGCCTTGGGATTGCTCTCTTTGAGGAATATCTTTGTGGTGTTTTCTGTATTTCCTGGATTTGAATGTTGGCCTGCCTTGTTAGGTTGGGGAAGTTCTCCTGCATCATATCCTGAAGAGGTTTTTCCAACTTGGATTCATTCTCCCCATCCCATTCAGATACACCAATCAAGTGTAGATTAGGTCTTTTCACATAATCTCATAGTTCTTAGAGGCTTTGTTCATTTCTTTTCACTCTTTTTTCTCTAATCTTGCCTTCTGGTTTTATTTCATTGATTTGATCTTCTATTTCTGATATTCTTTCTTCTGCTTGATCAATTCAGCTGTTTAAACTTGTGTATGCCTCGCGAAGTTCTCGTGCTGTGTTTTTCGGCTCCATCAAGTCATTTATGTTCTTCTCTAAGCTGGTTATTCTATTTAGCATTTTGTCTAACCTTTTTTCAAGGTTCTTAGTTTCTTTGCATTGGGTTAGAACATGGTCTTTTAACTCAGAGAAGTTTATTACCCACCTTCTGAAGCCTGCTTCTGTCAGTTAGTCAAACTCATTTTCTGACTTGTTTTGTTCCCTTGATGGTGAGGAGTTGTGATCCCTCGGAGGGGAAGAGGTGTTCTGGTCTTTGATGGTTCCATCCTTTTTGCACTGGTTGCTTCTCATCTTCATGGATTTATCTCCCTTTGATCTTTGAATTTGGTGATTTGGGGAGGAATCTCTGAGTGGAGGTCCTTTATGTTGCAGTTGTAGCTATATCTTTTTTGGCCTGTAGAGGCACTTCTGTGCGGCCTTGGAGTCTGTCATGTTGCTACGTGGGTGGTCTTCCCCTGGAGTTTGTTTGCAGGTCAGATTAGCCCCGCCTTCCTGGTGGTGGCTCTCCTTTCCTGAGCTCCGTTGGGGTCAAACCGATGTATTTGCTGCCAAGCTCTCTAGTGAGCAAGCTTCTATTTGAGTTTTTAGGGGGTGAGGCCTGCCAGACCTTATGGCCTGTTTCCCTGCTTTCAACTCTGCCTCTTTCTGTGGGACTGGTTGTTCCATCCCACTGGGATTAGTCCAAACTTCTGCCCCGGTTCATGCTAACAACTTGCAGCAGCAGGCAGGAGCCATCGCTCAGATTTGCATGGACAACCCACAGCGCCCCTCAGTCTGGCGTAGCTCTTTGGAACATGGGTTGCAGGAGGGGTGAGGTAAGCCCAGGATCCAAATTGGAGTACCAAGAAGGTGAAGTCCCTGACCCTCCAAGCTGGCTGCATATTCCAGGTGGAGACATGCCTCCACCTGTCTCGGTTTGCCCTCCCTGAGTGGCTCTCCCACTGCTTCATCTCCTTCCTGGGCTATTTTCAGAATCCTACCAGTCCCACTGAAACCTTGCTTGCAATCGTGAAGTCCTCTAGCCCTCTGCGTCTCATGCACTGGGAGCTGCATTCTATTGTTGCTTCCTCTCAGCCATCTTGGTGCTCCCCCAAATCCGTTCTTCATTGTTCGGATGGAAATATTTTTACTTTGTCATATTTTATAAAAATGACAATTTTAATGGTAAATATAGAGAGGTATTCTTTGGAGTAATAGAGTCACAGAGTCTTGAGACTCAAAGTCAGCAGGCATAGCAGAGAGCAGGGCCTGTATATAGTTATACAGGCCCCTCCCATGGTCATATCTCAGAAGGCTGGCAGGGATGAGCTTAGAAGATCAGAGAATTATCTGGAGAAATTCAACGTTACCAGAAGGAGAAATTTCTTACTTAGGAGCCTTCTAACAAAATAACTATATCCCCAAATTACCCTGTAGTGAATCTACCCGTCACTAAGCCCTGCCCACATAAAAACAACTTCCAATCGGATTTTTGGTGCTGTTCTTGTAAATATATAGAATCACAGATCACAAAGTCTGTAAGGAAAGCTTCCAATTAAGACATAGAACAGTACAAACTGAAAACAAGAATATATTCAGAAAGATAACTATGGGAAAATGTAACTGAAAAACCAATAACAACAAAGAATATTTTTCATTGAAAATCTGGAAATTGAATTTTTTTTTTTTTAGTCTTCTTCCGAGTAGTTGGGATTACAGGCTCACTCTACCACACTCAGCTAATTTTTGTATTTTTGTTTAGTAGAGACAAGGTTTCACCCTGTTGGCCAGGCTTCTCTCAAACTCCTGGCCTCAAGTGATTCACCTGCCTCAGCCTCCAAAACTGCTGGGATTACAGGCGTGAGCCACCGTGCATGGCCTGGAAATTGAAATTGATATAGGAATGCAATGAGGTTTGTAATGAAAATGTAAGATGATACAATTTAGGAAATGTCACAGAGTATGGAACAAAAATACACATGGAAAGTAAAAACGAAAATACAAAATTATTAGAAATTAAATTCAGGAAGTTCAAGATTCTTCATTATAGAATAGATTTAAAAAGAAACTGAAATTATCGTGTACATCAAAAACTTATTTTTTCTGTAACCGAAGGATTACTCAGGGGTCCACCAAATGCCCACGACAATGAAGTATATGCTTAAGTATATCACCGTGAAATTTCATAATACAGGGATCTTAAAAGTTAACAGAGAAACAGAAAGCCATTTACAAATAATCTTAAATCAGAATTTTATCAGACTTCTCAGCAGAAGACATTGGAGCTATAACATTAATAACTCTGAAGGAAAAAATTGCATGCTATACTTGGTCAAATTGTCATTCAAGGACAGATTAATGATATTCTTTGAAGGTTTTAAAATAATTTACCTCCTGTGTACTGTTTCTTTGTAGCTGCTGGATAATGTATTTCATCAGAATGAGAAATAAATAATAAAGAGTGGTAAACAATGTCTTACCCAAAAAGCTAGGAATCAAATATAGGGGGGAGCTGAAGAGAAGTAGATAATGGTAAAGAGAAGGACAATAGCTATTCAATAAATCTCAGAAGCAATTCATAGCCATTGAAATGAGAGAAGAGAGGGCTCAGGAAAGCTGTCTTTTCCATCTGTCCTTGCCCAAATGATTGTGTTTTATCATATTAACAATAGTATTTCTGAAAGATATAATACTAATGGGTGCCAATGAAGAAATTAATAGATTTAGAGAAGTCGTTTTACCCAGAGTTGTAAAATACCTCATGGAGCTTTAATTCAAACCTGGGAAACCATACCTATGTTTTATTCACTATGCACTATCTAATAATTACAATGCAAGGTTAAACAGTAGTGCCATGTGATGAGAGATTACTTTGTAGGAATATTTGTGCATTTTAATGTACAGTTTACAAAGTACTTTTGCATTTTATTTTGATTATGATAATGTGCTTTGGAAGGATTTTGATATGAGAGGTGACATGAGTCAAGTGAATGGAAAATGAGATATCTGTCAGAACTGACAATCAGGGTAGAATTGGGATCGATGCCAGTACATCATCAAGATTCACTGTAAACCTTGTATGGTGTTGGTGGGTTGGCTTGGAAGCAGATACAAATGACTTTTCCATTGCCAATGATTTAAGGACTGCACTACACAACCTTTGTTCTGGATCACGACTCGACTTCAGCCTTTTGCTGGTGACAGATGTGTAAAATTGATTTGGGCCCTGCAAGTGCAATACCTATGGACTGAAACTCTTTCCTTTGGAGATTAGCCTGTGTTAAGTAGACAAGACTTTGGATGGTTATTTTCTCTCATTAGCTGCCAAGTTTTTATCTTAACTATTTGAATTCAAAGTTTTCTAAAACTAATAGTGCTATCTCTTCCTTCTTAAGCAGACTAGAGGAACCTGTCTTAAACTTTTTTTTCTCTAGTTTGTGTTTGTATTTTCTTTGTGGAATATCAAGTTGATATTGTTATAGACCACTATATTTTCCATTGCCCAAATAAATAGGCCCATATCGCAAAGTTTGTTTCACTCTGCTTTATAGTTTTTATATTAGGAATAGTATATGAGGTGATGAAATCTGACCTCTTTTTGTAGCCATGGAAGTAATGAGCTGTGAATTTGGCAAACATCACTAAGGAATAATTACGTAACTGGTCTTACCAGACTGTCTGATCATATTCCAAATCTAAGTTCGTTAGGAAATAACAAAAGATACCTTATAATCTTATAGTAACTTCAGACTTCTACCCATAGTAACACATTTAACAAATCACTTTCTTATGTCTTAGTTTCTTTATCTTTAGCAGATGTAGAGGGTAGAAAGAAGAATTACAATACTTGTCTTCAATAATCATTGTAAGAACCAAATGGATTAAGTGAAAGTTTATAATACCAGTCATATAATAAATGCTGTGTTACCTTCCTGTCCCCTCTTCCAAATTTCTCTACCTTACCAGAGCAGATAACTCTAAATGATTACTCATGCACCATCCACAGAATTTACTTAATGCCTATTTCCTTTCCCTCTTAAAAGTCCTTCATTTCAAAAAGAGGGGGAGGAAAAAAGAACTTAACACTTTGTGACATGTAATATATTTTTCTCCATTGCCTGCCTGAGCTGACACTTGGACTTTTATAGAGGAAATGAGAATATATGCCGTTTGCTACTTTTAGGGATATAGAAAAACTAGTCAATGCTAAACTCCTTCATCACAGTCAACTTCTTGAATTTCTCCTGTCTTTCTGTGATCTCTTCAGTTTCGCTGTAGAGGAATGGCTAACTTCTCATAAGGAATGTTGGCCTCCTAAAGAGATACAGTCTTATCAAAAACAAACAATACAGAGTTGTAGTAACTTTTCTATGTACATTACCTCTGCATTAAAGGTGCTTAAATTTCAAACATGGGAAACAAAAGGAAATCTAATATGAAAGTGTTTCTCTTTTATCTTTTAATCAAGTGCGTTTAAACCTTATTTGATGAAACTTTAAAATCTTTCTTCATTTAACTCAAGAAGTTATTAAAGAATTGAGAAATGCTGGTTGGGTGCAGTGGCTGATGCCTGTAATCCTAGAACTTTGGAAGGCTGAGGCAGGCAGATTGCCTGAGCTCAGGAATTCAAGAACACCCTGGGCAACATAGGCAAAAACCCATCTCTACAAAATACAAAAAATTAGCTGGGCGTTGTGGCACAGGCCTGTAATCCCGGCTACTAGGGAGGCTGAGGCACAAGAAGAATTGCTTGAACCTTGGAGGCCGAGGTTGCAGTGAGCCGCGATTGCACCACTGCCTTCCAGCTTGGAAGACAGAATGATACTCTGTCTCAAAAAAGGAAAAAAACAAGAAAAGAATTGAGAAATGCTGAATTGAGATTCTGAAAGATTTTTTCCTAATTATTTTATATTTTCTTTAATGGCAGTAAAACTTTCAGTTCCCTTTACTAGAATTCATGCTGAATCAATAGTCAACCGCTGAATCTTTTGTCTACCTATTCCCAAATTCTATTCTCCCCACTAACTTTCATTTTACATTGGAAAAGTAGAAACATTATCAACATAAATTGGCAGATATTTAAATAAGGAGATGTATTATATTCTCTGGCATTTAAATAATGATACTCTGAAATCTACAACTATATATATATATATATTCATATATATATATGTAGATAATTCCAAGTCAAAGGCACACATGAAAACACAAGTAGATAAGCAGATTATACTAAATATCCCCATTGATCCAGTCATAGAAATGCTAATTAATATCTACAATTTTTTTTACTTTTTTTCTAATAACTTATTATCTTAGCCATATTTAGATATATTCATTTAGGAGAGATGGTGGTTAATATAAAATAATAATATTTATATTATAAAAGCATTACATTATAAAAGCAATCTAAATTCTATACGTTTGCTTTTTTAAAACATTTCTATCTAGAAATTGACATTGAACGCTGTGTAAGAGAATCAATCAACCTGTTTTGTTGGACTCCTAAAAGTGCTACTTACAGACAGCATGCTCAGCCTCCAAAGCCAACTTCTGACAGCATTGGAGTCAGAAGTTCAGCTCCTTATTTCTCTTCTGAGTGTCCAGATTCTCCAAAGACAGATCTGGTATGTATTTGCAGATTTCATTTACAAACTCTAAAAGGAGATGGATGTTAAAATTAATATACCCTAATATCATTATTGCTCTTAATGATGTCATTTATGTCCTTTTAATGTCACTATTTCCTTTTTTTTTTTTTTCTGAGATGGAATTTAGCTCTTGTTGCCCAGGCCAGAGTGCAATGGCAGAATCTTTGCTCACCACCACCTCCACCTCAGGGGTTCAAGTAATTCTCATGTCTCAGCCTTGTGAGTAGCCAGTATTACAGACATGCACCACCACGCTAATTTTGTATTTTTAGTAGAGACAGGATTTCTCCATATTGGTCAGGTTTGTCTCGAACTCCCAACCTCAGGTGATCTGCCCGCCTCGGCCTCCCAAATTTCTGGGATTACAGGCATGAACCCCTGCTCCTGACCTAATGTTGCTATTTTCTAACAAATGATTGGATTCATGGAAATATTCCAGAAAACTCTTATATCTATTTGGTTATAGAGTTAGGAAGATTGTTTTGACATATTCCTCCAGGTAGCAAGTTTTGTTTTTTTTTGTAAACAATTATAGTATCTGTTTATATATCAATTGGTTATATAGTGAAAGATTAGAGAAGCAAAGACAGAATTTAAAAAGTAGAAAAAGTTGTTAGTAGAGCAGGAACTTATTGTTGGTTGACAGAAGAAACAGCATTTTTAAAATGATGCGCTCGGCGCGGTGGCTCAAGCCTGTAATCCCAGCACTTTGGGAGGCCGAGGCGGGTGGATCACGAGGCCAAGAGATCAAGACCATCCCGGTCAACATGGTGAAACCCGTCTCTACTGAAAATACAAAACATTAGCTGGGCATCGTGGCGCGTGCCTGTAATCCCAGCTACTCAGGAGGTTGAGGCAGGAGAATTGCCTGAACCCAGGAGGCGGAGGTTGCGGTGAGCC